TAGAGCATGTGTGAGGATTGGATACAATCAAAATATAGGGTCAAATTTACCAGCTGGTCCTCCTCCTGCGACGATAATGTCTACTTCTTCAGGATGGCCCATTGTAAATTGATATCAGAAGACGTATACAGGAATAACGATGAGGGTGTTTTTTCCAATGTGGAGACGAAAGTGGGTATATACGAGCAGTTTTTATAGGGAAAGCCCGGGAAAGTTGAGCGGGCCAGGAGACACGATCGTCAGATGACTTTCGCACGAAGAGGAAAGGATATGCACAGCACGCTCGAATTGTCTCCATTAAGCTGGAAATACCCCTGTTGGCACAGAAACTGCACATTATGGTGCCGCTGTGCGAGAAGAAGAGTCCCCGTAAGACAGCAGAAGCGGTCAAATGATACGAAAGCCATGGTAAGAACCAGCTCGTTGCTGACGAAGGGGAGGAGCCGTCTGGTATGGCCGATCAGAGTGCGGTCACCGTGTGAGATCAACATAGGAAGATCTGCGAAAGCATTCTTAGTATGGTGAAGGTCTTAGGAGCGAGCTCCCCACAGCGCATCTGCTCTGACAGATAGAAGGGTGTGTACGCTATAGAGTTATTTCATCTATGCCCCCAAAAATGAAAAAAGTGGATGAGGAACATCGACATCTTGAGCCTGGTTTGGGACTGGTTCAACTGGTGAATCATATCTTCCTTCAATATTCTATTCCCGTCCTGCGACAACCCTGCGACAATCGAAGGCGGAGAAGGATAAGGCAAAGGCTAAAAATTTACGCGGTATTCAATTATGTCAGATGGCCTTGAATTTCGAAGTGGGAGGATGAACAGGTGTCTAGAAAAATGATTTCTATACATGGCTGACTCTCCCGCCAATGCGATAGGCTGGGCGCGCACTCCAGTTCTTGTCACTAGAACTTCAGCCATTCGGAACTTGTAAAGCATTTCACGGCTATTCAGAAGAAGCAAGCAAGCTCGTTATCTGGTATATCCTGTAAAATATCTGACACAGCTTCTGACCAGGGGTGTGGTGACTTTGTCGTGCAAAAGTTAAAACTACTGACCAACTTACTGCTGTGTAACTGTTGCGCAATGCAAAGAAATAGATCATGCTTGCTCCAGAACGTCATGCGAATGAGATGCAATTGTTTCCCGGTTCAATTGTCACGCGTCACGAAGAACCTGATTTATTCGTCACACCTGTCCCATGTCACAACAGTTAGATCGACAAAAACCGGGTTCTCCGCAGCTATGTCCCATGTCTTCTGCAGTCAATATAACTATGTTTTCTATCCAGATTTGACTCGAAAACTTGAACTCTCACAAGTTTTGTCTCACTCAAGCTCCGACTTGGTGCTGCATGCATTTAGAATCTAGATACCAGTAAAGTAAACTGGTGAGTCCTCTATAATTCAGAATGTTCAATGATCACTATCTGAATCATACAAGTCATTCCTAAAAGACAAAAGATGAATCCTGATACAACCCGTTTGCCACTCTCATGTGTTTACCCCCCTCACTATCAGCAGCTGCATCCCCAGGATTGGTGTTAACAAGTGAGGTGATTGGGAATTTGGGATAGCTATGGCTGGGTAGGGGCGTTGCGTACATCTGTACCATTACATTAACATTACATCTATAATATGTCTTTGCTAGTATATCGGTTAGTACACGCGCCTGTCATGATCAACTGGCCGCGCGAAAGCTGGGTTCGACTCCCAGGCAGAGAGATATTTTCCGAGGCTCACAGATATTTTTGCTCGTACTAGCCAAGTAAGTAGCACTTCCCAAAAGCAGCTGGTTCGACCAAGAGCAAGTTGAAATATGGAGGCGTCTACGTATGACGTTTTCCTGAACGACAAAAGAAAAGGCACAACCCACGCATCATCCTTACTGAAGCACCGACTTAAAAGAATCATCGACTGGATGAACGTCAATGGGTACGACGGAAGGGGGAATGGCGCCAGCGAGAGATTTATTGTTACAACTATTACATTTCACCACATTCTACGAGAAACATCATTAACGAATTGCGAGCAACGGTAGAACAAGCTCACCAGTAATTTTAACGACAAGTTTAGGTCGATTATTGGGACCAGTAGCTACATTCTCGATCTTCCGTAGAGTGAGCATGCCATCGATAACATGACCGAAGACAACATGTTTCCCGTCGAGGAAGTCACACTTCGCGGTTGTGATAAAGAACTGGCAGCCATTCGTGTTCGGGCCGGAATTTGCCTAGAGACTGGTTAGAGCGCGACGCGGAGGGCGGAGAGGGATGCCGTACCATTGACAGTAGCCCGGGTCCAACGTGTTTCTCCTTGAAGTTCTCATCCTGTTTTCAAATGGTTACGAAGGCTACAGGAAGAATAGAGAGGGTACGTACAGGAAACTTGTCTCCATAGATGGAGAACGAGCCAGTCCCGTCACCCTTCAGGAAGTCCCCGCCCTGACACATGAAATTTGGCACCCTGTACACAGGCATGTTAACCAAGGAAAATAGCTGAGTACCAATACCGGCTTACACCCTTAATATATATGGTCAGAAAGGGCATACACGACCAATTTTGAGACTCGACGTACCGATGGAAAGTTGCACCCTTATAGCCCTGAGGTCGCGAGTTGACCCTGCCATTAACTGCACATCAATTCAATGCTTTCAATTCCCTACAAGAATACCCCCCGTACCTGTACTCGCCCGTGCACAACTGCCTAAAGTTCTCGGCGGTCCTAAGTCATGGAACAAAATCTGCTTAAATCGGACCTGATTGCCTGACTAACGCACAACGTACTTCGGGACAATATCGCTATGAAGTTCCATCTTCAGCCGACCAGCAGGCGTCTCTCCAATGTTGATGTCCATGAAAACAATAGGACGCGTAGGTGTAGACATGATTGTGGTGGAGGAACGAGTGAATTCTCCCGAATAAATTACTTGATTAGGCAATTTGACCCCGTTTGCGGCTCGTGATCGAGTTGGATTTTCACTTGCAAACCTCCATGTGCAACTTGTAGAATCGGTTCTAACCGCTTAGGAAATGCAGAAAGGTAAATAGTGAGAGCTCAGCCTTCTCAATTATTCCGATTACTTATTGATTAACAGTCAGAAGCTAATGCCGATAAGTACAAGATAAGTATCTACTTGCTAGCTCTAATGTTCAACTTGGCCAGCTGACCCAAGTTTACTCCGTTTTTGCTATTGGTCTCCGGGAGCAAAAAAAACTATCGTTTATGTTGTCAATCGACAGGAACCCTGGTTTGTAAGACGTAGCTGGATCATCGAGCGCTTACTACAACCACCTAAATTGCACCGAAATTGACATCATTAGGGAGCCCATTTGCTGCCTAGCTTGCGACTTGGGATGCTGAAACCTGTCTGCTGCAAGTAACAAGGAGATGGTTCTTCTCCGAATCTATCAACCCCAAAGTCTCTGCCTGCACTCGACATGTCTACTACTGACATCTTCTTGACTGGCGCCACTGGTTACATTGGTGGCTCCGTCTTGACTCGCTTTCTTGCCCGCCCGGACGTTGCCAGTCTCAATACAACAACCTTTGTCCGTTCTTCTGAAAAGGCCGCCAAATTTGCCACATTCGGCGTGACACCCATAGTCGGCTCATAGTTCCTCCCGGCTATCCAGGCGATGCTGCGGGGCCTCGAGAAGCGCCACAAAGCCACTGGAAACGTCCCCGCCATCATCCATTCATCCGGAAACGGTATCCTCTCCGACGATGCCAAAGGTGCATATCCAACCGACACCGTCTATCCACGTGGCACGATATATGGCATCGTATCGAACAAATTCGTCGATCTTGGTCTCGAAAATTCACGCTCCGCCCAGGCTCGGGCCCGCGGAGAAGATGGAGCGGTGGGCGGAGGCAAAAATCTCTCCGTCGAAGATAGTACGCCCTGATCCTCAATAGTTCTGCTCAGCCGGTCTTCTACCTCGTGCTATACGATTCCATCCAAACCAACCCATCAGAGTATGTACTATGATTGTGACATTTTCGAACTCTACAGAACGGTCGGTTGTTGGGTGGGCTTTGGCGCACCAGTCGTCTGCACCATTCAAGATGTTCGAGGCTTGAGCCCAGGTCCTAGCCCTTGGAACCCCACCCTCAATGAAATCTTCGTACCCCGGGTTGTGTCCGGCAGTCCTGCGAGCCATAGAATCCGAGTGTCCGATTCTATACAACAATAGCGAGCTTATCTGAATCACAAGTTGAAGTATCGACTCTGCCTTACCCAAATTTCATGGTCCTGCCTCGATCACGGTTCATCCCGAAACCCATGACCAAGATGTTGCAGAGGGAGTAGGCCAACGTTGATCAGGTGCCTTGCAGGTCAATAAGTATTGAATGGCGACCTCACGAATTGCAGATGCAGAAGCGATGCCAACATTCAAGAGAAGGCGGGGAGACGGCACATGAGATAGCTAAAGGAGGCTCGGGTGACGCGATCTTGACGTTGGTGCGCCATCGTGAAGTGACGGCGCGACGTGTTTGGATTCTGGGCAAATTTATGGAATGGCAATTTGTCGGCGCGGCTCCGACCACCATCCCCAAAACTCTCTGTATGTTCAATTATCCTCTTCCTACGCTTCGAGGGAACGCCGAAAATGTTTTCTGAGGCTCCGCTCTCCTGCTCGATTTTCATGTGTAAAGCCATATGCATACGATTTCGCCTCTTCCTTCTTACTTCAAGCTTGGGTTCATTATCATTTACTCTGTCAAAATTCGGTACAGTGCTCTCCCAGAGCCGAAAACATACACCCGTGATTGAAATGTTTGTCAGACATAGCTGAATCATCGTTCAGAGCAGCTGACTGTGCAACCACCAAACTTGGCATCACTTGTAAATTTGGGCTGAGGATGCTGACTCAAACCTATCTTCTGCAAGTATAAAGGGGGACGACTGGTCTAGCGAGCTCTTCACTTCCTTTCCTACTGTAATCTTCCGAAATCTAAACCTCCACTTGCACTGCTGCCATGTCTACCCCCAATATATTCTTCACTGGCGCCACTGGTTATATTGGTGGCTCCGTCTTGGCTCGCTTCCTCACCCACTCAGACATTGCCAGTCACAAAATCACACTCCTCGTCCGTTCGCCTGAAAAGGCCGCCAAATTCGCAGCATTCGGCGTGAAGACCGTGGTCGGTTCACAAACCGATATTGATCTAGTGGAAAAGCTTGCGTCCGAAGCCGACGTCGTCGTTTCGACGGTATTCCCGTCTTTATTTTCACCAGAGTATCATTCTGACCTGGCTCCTGCAGGCAGACTCCGACTACCTCCCAGCTATCCAGGCGATTCTTCGCGGCCTCGAGAAGCGCCACAAAGCAACTGAAAACGTCCCCATTATAATCCACACATCCGGAACGGGTGTCCTCGCCGACAACGCCAAGGGTGCATATCCAACCGACACCGTCTACGACGACGCCAACCCCGCGCAGATCGAAACACTCGCCACCACCCAAGCGCATCGTTGGATCGATGTAGAACTTGACGCTGCTGACGTAAAAGGTTCGTACTTGCGCATTCTTCGCAAGTCTCTATGAGCTTGTCGACTGACGAGATACATATTGCAGGATACGTCAAGACCTACATTATCCTCCCATCCACGATATATGGCATCGTTTCGAACAAATTCGTCGACCTTGGCCTCCAAAACCCCCGTTCCATCCAAGTGCCACGCTTGATAGATGCGGCTCTGGCTCGTGGACAAGGTGGGACAGTGGGCTCAGGCAAGAACCTCTGGAACGACGTCTCCATCGAAGATGGTATTCCCCATTTACCCTTACTTCTCCGTCATTCTGCTCACACGATCTACCCAGTCGCCGATCTCTACCTCGTTTTGTACGACTCCATCAAGGCCAACCCAGCAGGGACGGGACACGGCCGGGAGGGCTATTACTTTGGTGAAAACGGCACACACAGCCTGTACGAGGTGGGAAAGGCCATTTCAGAGGAGCTTGTGGCGGTGAGGAAGGGAAGAAGTGCGGAGCCGACACCGTTCACGGAGGAGGAGATTGAGAAGCTCGGCAAGGAGTTCGCTTATGTGGCGCTGGGGTCGAACTCGAGGGCGACTGCGAACCGATCGCGCGCTATTGGATGGAAGCCGAAATACACGACGAAGGATTTGTTGGCTAGTGTTAAGGCTGAGGTCCAGGCGGCGTTGAAGAATAACTGAGGTTTTGGTATTATACACCCACGTTAGAGCGGGATTAGAGTGGGTTCGTTGTATTTTTATAACCTAGCATTGCGACTATTCAATTGAGTATCATCAACTCTTGGTGTTCATTGCATGTCTTCGTGCATCGGCAACATGTTCGTTGACTGATCAAAGCACAGGGGAACCACACAGAGAGAGAAGAATTAAGAATTAGGCATGAGTATTAACTTGAAGTGGTACAAGTCACGAATAATTAAGATAACCAAAACCCAACATATTAAGGAGATATCTCTCCAACCCATAACCCAGTATTAGTACAAACCAACGTTCAGTTGGCGTAGTCATGAGTGAGAGCTCAATCATCTCGTACTGAATAGAAGAAGTCAAGTGAGCAACTGCCCCATCGCCAGATATAGATCGAGTCCACGTACCCGGAACCAATTCCCACAGCTGGGCTTCGTCGTCAAACTCCGCAGGCGCAAACCCCACCGCCTTAGTATGTCTGCTGACGTCCCTCCGCTTGATCTCCAGGAACAGGTTCCCCAAAAGTATTCTGCCC